TCTAACCGCCTACTGCTTCCCCTCCTCTCTCCTCGGTTCCCCTCCTCAGTCCTCCGCTCGCATCTCCTGTGGGCGGGACTAAGTCTCGAGGATAGGAGTCGAGGAGGGGAAATTAGAGTATTGAGAAACCTCTTATGCCTTCATTCCACTTATTCAAGCCCACTTCAACATATTCAGAGATGGCTGGGATGACCATCCCCTTTCAACAGAAGGGAACCTCTCTCCCAATCAGTTGTGGCACTTGGGGCAGCAGCACCATTCCCAAGAGTGTGATGAGGTGGGTTTGCCTTCAAGGCTTAAGTTCATTTGGTCTGACTTCTTATGTTATTTCATTTGAATTATTTTATTTTACAGGATCTCCAAATTCCACTAATAGAGTGGGAAAGCAGTGGCCTTGTACCCATTGTCCCCAATCCAGGTATCCAGGCTCCTGAAATAGAAATATGGGCTCAGAACAGTCTCATAATACACACATGCACACAGAAGGATTCACACTTGTATTTCCAGATCCACACTTGTGTTTTTCAATGCGCACACAAATGTGTTCCGTTTCATATACATGTAAATAAAATCCAAATACAGAAACAAGTTTTACATATGTATTTTTGATCCTCACATATTTGATTTCCGTTTAAATCCTCTGAACCTGCAAACACAACCCGCTTTCTGTGCACGGATCGCTGTGCATTCGTGTGTGGGTTTTTTGAGACTCCCCTGACGGTCACCCTATTCGTACTTGTAATTGTTTCTATCTATAGCCAATCAGATTACTCCTTCATTCTAAGCCAATCACATGAGCGCGCCTCTTGCGTTCATGACACAGATTTATTGCGTTCATGACACTTTATATACGCATTTTGCGTTGTCCGGTAGAGATGGGCGAGTCCTGATTAATCCGGATCATTAACCCGGATCCTAGAAATTAGCTGGTCGTGACGAGTCTCCCCTCTCCATTAACCCGAGTCCTTTGAGTCCTACACCTGGTGTGACGTACAAATTAAAACTATAAATTGTGTCACTCGCTACTCTCTTTATAACATGTAAAATAACATTACAACGTACCCCAGTCCATCTGCCTACCCTTTAGCAAGTAGGATAGCTTTCAGAAGTTATCGTTTGGCTCAGGGGAGGGGAGGCGGATCAGTGAAACTTCCTGCAGACTCGTGGGGACTCAGAGGAGCCGTAAGTTACGGCTCCTAACCGTAATTGCATAGCAGATCCAGAGATCCAAACTCGTCATGTGCACGAGCATAGCTGCGGCCGGGAAGACATTTTACTTAGGGGGTGTGGCCAAAAGTGGGGAGAGATTAACAGTAACATGTTGCAGCCCCGCCTCCAGCTCCCGCAGCTATATTATGCACGAGTCAACAGCAGACTCACTGTGCAAAACACAGCAGACTCGTGCGGACTCAGAGCCATAACCGTATAGCAGCAGATCCAGAGATCCAGCAGACTCGTCGTCATGCAGGAGTCAACAGCAGACTCAGATTTGCCAAATCGCAAAATAACCCTTTTTTTTTGTGATCAACATTTTTTATTAAAGCAAAAGACACTGTGTAGCGGAGGTTAATATAACGTCAGTTTAATATAACGTCAGTTTAATATGCTCGTGAAATGCAACAAGTTTTCGGTTTCACCGGTAGGATTTCTACGCTCTTGGTGATGCTGACTCATATGACTCAAATGACTCGTATGATCCGGATCTCTTCAATGACTGACTCAGAAGACCCTGAGTCCGTAAAAGGATCTGGATTTGCCATCTCTACTGTCCGGTCAGCTCGCTAAACAGAGGGAGGAGCATCAGGTGATTGTGCAGAGCTGCTTGTCTCAGTCAGACTCAGCAGCTGATCTGATCTCTCTCTCGCGTCCGGTTATACTTCACTCGCGTTTATGTCCATATCGATCAGATCCAGCTCTCCTGATCTGCCTTTATAGAGAGCACCGATCAAACTATTAAGAGTGAATATCGGCCGATAATGACCGGCGAGGCTCCCCCCCCCGTTGACAGTTCACTGTCTAGCACTGGCTTTGTAGTGCACTGATCGAACCTGGCAACTAACCTGTAGCTGCTCCCTCCACACTCACAACAACTTCATACAGACATAAATAAAGCAGCTGTATTCGCCACACAGGAAACACACATTTAAATGGTTTTACCTGCCGTTTTTATGTACTCAAGCATTCATTAATGGTTCGGAAAGTGGCGCTGTACCATAATAATATAAAGGCTTGTATTTGCGTGCATTTCCTGTTCGGAAAGTGGCGCTGTACTGAGAATGGAGGTGTCCTGAGATTAGCGCCTGCAGGCAGGCTCCATGGACCTGTCAGCTCCGGACAGCGCAAAATGCGTACATGAAGCGCTACGTCATGAACGCAAGAAATCTCCCCTCGTGGGGGCGCGCTCATGTGATTGGCTTAGAATTGAGGAGACATCTGATTGGCTGTACTTAAGTATCTTTGCTTTTTATGCATGTTTTTAAATGCCTTTTTAATAATGTATTTATGCTGTATTTGTTCTTAAATGTATTTTGCTTTTAATCTGTAAAGCACTTTCAATCGCCACGTGCTGAAAAGTGCTATATAAATAAAATTGCCTTGCCTTGCCTATAGCAGAGTTTCCGCTAGGATTTTTTCTCGCCGGTCAGATGTCCGGACAGAATTTATTTTACCGGATAAATTCGAAACTTACCGGTCATGTTTCAATAACAGTCTATCTTACAAACGCAACTATAATGTACACCTAGATTGACGAAAGAATGACAACGACCACAAATCAATTTGACTATTTAATGAACAACAGAAACGATTAAACAAAACGAACAGGAACGATTGAGCAAAACCTCATTAGCCGCTAAAATGTAGGCTATTAAAAAAAACACCTGTAACATCTGGAGCTCGTTTTTAAAAAAGGCATCACATTAGGCTACCCTTTCTCCTTGTTTTCATTGCGGCAAAGTCCTCTGCTGCCAAGCTGAAATGAAACGTGTCCAAGGTGTCTTTGCAGCTTGCAATACGCATAAGCCGCGTCACTCTCTCCTCCTCCAGACGACTCCGCAGTGATGTCTTGACACGGTTCAGCAAGGAGAAGCCCCTCTCTGCAGGCACACTTGACACGGGCAGAACACAGGCAATTTTAGCCAGTGTAGCCCAGTCAGGGTACAGCTCGCTGAACTCACAAATGAGCACTTTGCAAGCTGTGGCAAAAGTTAAACCCCCATAGCCGTGGAGCACTGTTATCACTGCCACTGCATCTCGCCGGACGCGCTTGACATCGATGAGAGGTGCGGCAGCTGATTCAGTCACTGGCATATTCCTGAAACGCTGAAAGGATGTATTATTATTATTATTATTATTAGTCGTAGTAGTAGTAGTACTATAGGCGCCATTTCCTAGTTTATATTAAACAGGAAATGCCACAGCGGTAAATGGTTTTAAAAGTCTCAAAAGTGTACAAAACAGTGGAACAAACTGGATGTATTTAAATTATTTCGTTAAGGAAGAAATACATCTTAATTAAGGAGCACTATTGGAGCGAATTTGATGGATATTGGGACGGAATTATTTAATTTGGATGCCCGCTGTATACTATAATAGTAGGCTAGCTACTAGCAAGAAATAAAGAGAGTGTCAGGTGCTGCGCAGAAGTTATATATTGTAGAATATGTGCCGATAGGATAAAATGAATATGACCAAGAGAAATGTTGAGAGAATTGCTTACCAGACTGTGCATGGGGGTATCGGGAGGGGTTCAAAAGGATGTCGAGGGAGCTGATGAGATCCAGAGTGTCATCGGGGAATCGGTCTTGTAACGCATTGATGAGATGCTGAATGTACTTTGATCGTACGTTTGTGTTAGCCTGAATGGACCTTTCATTCAGATGTGTCACTTCCACATTTTTATACTTTCCATCTTGGAGATCATTTTGGAATTCCACCTCCTCTGGGCCTAGCTCATCTTTCAGCTGTGTAAGACCTACGATAGATGCGTGCACAATTGGCCTGATGCTGCCAAGATTGGCGTCCTCCTTTTGAAAAACCAAACTCAAATTGGTCATCACTGGAAGTACATCAGACAGTGAGTGGGTGAGAGCAATGAAAGAGTACTGCTGAATCTGATTTTGAATACCTTGGGCTTGGGTATTTCCGTTCACTTTTTCACTGTTCAACTCCATTACCAGAGCAGGCCAGTTGCTTTTAACACTTTGCACTGCGTTATGCAAGGACAACCAACGGACGGCGCATGGCCGTTTCAAACTAACCATGTCTTCATCGCTTAGGGTCGCTGTCAGCTGACGGAGGCGATTTGTCCTACTTGCGGAGTGCTTGTAGAATGAATGGATTGTATTCACAGTGCGTCTGTATGCACTCACCTGACTCACAGCATTTGCAGCATCTACAGCTGCAAGTGCAGCTCGGTGAGCGACACAGTGCACCTGGATCAAGAAGGGATTTACTCTCTTCAAGAGAGCACCAACTCCAGCACGCTTCCCTGTCATCACACTGGCTCCATCCGAGCCCAGGCCCATGACCTTTGATAGCTCATTTCCTCTCCCTCTCAGCACCTCCACCACTTTCTCATATATGCACTGCGCAGTTCCGGAAAAAGTTATCAATCTTGCCCTTGTTTTCAATCTTGGCATATACGATTAATTTATTTTCCACTGTAATACTGACAGTCTCATCAATGATGATTCCAATGAATTCACTGGCCTTTTTTCGTCAAGCTGCTCACCTAGCTGCTCGTCACCCTCCAGTGCCCTCTCCATGTCACACAAGGATTCGCTATGCTTGTAAATGCCGTCATCGGTTCCAAAATCAGGAGCCCCTACTGCCCTCAGTAAATCAGTCATTCCTCTGAACTGGTTACCTGGAATATCATTTTTGGCCATGTGAAACACCACTTTTAATTGGGAATGCAGCTTCTGGCTGCTCTGTTCTTTTGCGCTGTCGATATGACTTTTCATTGCCATTTGTTGTTGTCCTGCGTTAACTGCGAACGTATGGTTTTGGCACTGGCTGTGCTCTGTGAGGGCTGATGCTCTCATGTTGGTTGATCCTCTGGTAAAGCCATTTTTCCTCCCTGACCTAGCACAAAGGGAGCAAAAAGATGTTTCCATTCCATCGACACTTTCGCATTGAAGCCATTTGAATTTCTTCTGCCAATCGGCTTTAAAGTGTACTCTCGCCTTCTTCACTGCTGGACCTGCGGTTTCGGATGTTTGCGGGTTGCTTCATCAGGCACAGAGTCAGACTCAGAGGTAGGCTTATCGACAGGCTGACTGCTATTTTTGAGGAAAAATGTGTGAATGTTGGATTGTTTAGCCATATCTAACTGCGTGCCACGAAGGCAACTGATACATTCCTTCAATGTTTACTAGGCCTATAATAAGTATTACAGAAGCTCGCGAGTGTGTGTAATGTGTATGACGTGTTTGTTTCCCGGGGAAAACTCTCAGAAGAAACACCGGCTGTTGTTATGCCTGCTGTGACGTCAAGTTACTCCGTTCTCCGCTTGTAATTATGCCGTTACAAGCTTCAAAGTTGTATTTATCATCTGAATTTGCCGAAACAAGTTTAATATTCTGAAAGCCAAGACTTTGTTTATTTGAAATCAGATGAAAACCAACTCTCACGGACCCTGCCGTGTTATCTATGATTACTATACACTACATTCATAATTTCAGCCGGAGGGAGGGCGAGCGGCGCTGAGGAAGAGCAGGGTGCGAGTGAGAGGTGCCTGTCATATTCCCTCAGGGAGGCAACAGGAAGTTCCCTGTCAAATCCACGTTTATTTTTTAAATGAGCCGTTGCGACTTCCGACAGATTTCAATAGAGGGTCACAAATGTCTAGGGATAGCATACGTTATCTAAGTTTTGTATGAGCATTATTATCGGACATTTTGACCGGCAGGTTTTGAATTTACCGTTTTTCTATACATTTTACCAGCTAAAAACCGGTAATTACCGGCTAACGGAAACCCTGGCCTATAGAAAGAAAACATTACAAGTACGAATCGGCTGACCGTCAGGGGAGTCTCAAAAAACCCACACACGAATGCACAGCGATCCGTGCACAGAAAGCGGTTAGTGTTTGCAGGTGCAGAGGTTTTAAACGGAAAACAAATATGTGAGGATCAAAAATACATATGTAAAACTTTTTTCTGTATTTGGATTTTATTTACATGTATATGAAACGGAACACTTGTGTGTGCATTGAAAAACACAAGTGTGGATCCGGAAATACAAGTACTCTTCTGTGTGCATGTGTGTATTATGAGACTGTTCTGAGCCCATATAGAAAGCCCACTTGCCCCAGTGGAATTTGATGGACTGAAAGATGCTGTGGACCCCCTGGAGTCAACAAGTCTGGGTATTGACACCTACTTAGCTGCAATGCAGTACATGCAGAGCATTGGCTATATGTAAAGTAACCTTTGATTCCAGGGGTTTCGGACACTGGTGTCAGCGCCACCCAACGCCCCCTTCCCTCTTCAGGGGTTTCTGACACTGGTCTCAGCGCCACCCAACGCCCCCTTCCCTCTTCAGGGGTCGGACACTGGTCTCAGCGCCACCCAACGCCCCCTTCCCTCTTCAGGGGTTTCGGACACTGGTCTCAGCACCACCCAACGCCCCCTTCCCTCTTCAGGGGTTTCGGACACTGGTCTCAGCGCCACCCAACGCCCCCTTCCCTCTTCAGGGGTCGGACACTGGTCTCAGCGCCACCCAACGCCCCCTTCCCTCTTCAGGGGTCGGACACTGGTCTCAGCGCCACCCTACGCCCCCTTCCCTCTTCAGGGGTCGGACACTGGTCTCAGCGCCACCCAACGCCCCCTTCCCTCTTCAGGGGTCGGACACTGGTCTCAGCGCCACCCAACGCCCCCTTCCCTCTTCAGGGGTCGGACACTGGTCTCAGCGCTACCCAACGCCCCCTTCCCTCTTCAGGGGTTTCGGACACTGGTCTCAGCGCCACCCAACGCCCCCTTCCCTCTTTAGGGGTCGGACACTGGTCTCAGCGCCACCCTACGCCCCCTTCCCTCTTCAGGGGTCGGACACTGGTCTCAGCGCCACCCAACGCCCCCTTCCCTCTTCAGGGGTCGGACACTGGTCTCAGCGCCACCCAACGCCCCCTTCCCTCTTCAGGGGTCGGACACTGGTCTCAGCGCCACCCAACGCCCCCTTCCCTCTTCAGGGGTCGGACACTGGTCTCAGCGCCACCCAACGCCCCCTTCCCTCTTCAGGAGTCGGACACTGGTCTCAGCGCCACCCTACGCCCCCTTCCCTCTTCAGGGGTCGGACACTGGTCTCAGCGCCACCCAACGCCCCCTTCCCTCTTCAGGGGTCGGACACTGGTCTCAGCGCCACCCAACGCCCCCTTCCCTCTTCAGGGGTCGGACACTGGTCTCAGCGCTACCCAACGCCCCCTTCCCTCATCAGGGGTTTCGGACACTGGTCTCAGCGCCACCCTACGCCCCCTTCCCTCTTCAGGGGTCGGACACTGGTCTCAGCGCCACCCAACGCCCCCTTCCCTCTTCAGGGGTCGGACACTGGTCTCAGCGCCACCCAACGCCCCCTTCCCTCTTCAGGGGTTTCGGACACTGGTCTCAGCGCCACCCAACGCCCCCTTCCCTCTTCAGGGGTCGGACACTGGTCTCAGCGCCACCCAACGCCCCCTTCCCTCTTCAGGGGTCGGACACTGGTCTCAGCGCCACCCTACGCCCCCTTCCCTCTTCAGGGGTCGGACACTGGTCTCAGCGCCACCCAACGCCCCCTTCCCTCTTCAGGAGTCGGACACTGGTCTCAGCGCCACCCAACGCCCCCTTCCCTCTTCAGGGGTCGGACACTGGTCTCAGCGCCAACCAACGCCCCCTTCCCTCTTCAGGGGTTTCGGACACTGGTCTCAGCGCCACCCAACGCCCCCTTCCCTCTTCAGGGGTCGGACACTGGTCTCAGCGCCACCCTATGCCCCCTTCCCTCTTCAGGGGTCGGACACTGGTCTCAGCGCCACCCAACGCCCCCTTCCCTCTTCAGGGGTCGGACACTGGTCTCAGCGCCACCCAACGCCCCCTTCCCTCTTCAGGGGTTTCAGACACTGGTCTCAGCACCACCCAACGCCCCCTTCCCTCTTCAGGGGTTTCGGACACTGGTCTCAGCGCCACCCAACGCCCTCTTCAGGGGTCGGACACTGGTCTCAGCGCCACCCAATGCCCCCTTCCCTCTTCAGGGGTTTCGGACACTGGTCTCAGCGCCACCCAACGCCCCCTTTTTGCAAAGCACTAAATGCAGTTCTCTATTTTTTGCAAAAATAATTTTTTTATATTATATGTAATAAGTATCATGTGTCTTCTGAGAAACACAGCTCGACTATTAATATGGTGAGTTTGTTCTCTATTCTATTGTACAATATAATTGATCAACTTTCAACCATCAGTGTTTTGTGCATAATTTCGTGTGTCGTGTATTTTATGGGACAGTTTCAACAACAGTGTAAATATTTGCTTTTGGAGTATTAGTATATCTTTTTTACAAAGATAATTCCTCAGCTAAAGTGTAGTTCAGGGGTGGGGAACCTTTTTCCTCTCAAGGGCCATTTAAAAATGTTTAACATCCTCAGAAGGCCGTACAAATTATTGACCTTTAAAAATCACAGCCCATTCATTTGTGCAAAGAAAAAGCAACCTCTTAATCCAGATATCTTGCCATGACTGAGATTGACACGGACCACTATTGCGGTAAGCATGTTGTAACTTCCGATTGTTGTTGTCATCTCCGGGTATCCCGTGTGCCTGTTCTGTTGCTGATAGCTTATTATCTTAACTTAATCGATCGTTTTAAAACTCTTGATCACGGCAACTGCCTGACGTTGTAATCACACGTTACGAGAGCTTAAGCACTCACAACTCTCCTTCTCTTAGCGACTGAACATACTGCCCCTAGGTTCAATCCTCACGAAACACAATATCCCCTTCCACTGCTACGCGGACAATGTACAGATCTATCTGCCTCTCAAAGCAAATGTCAACTCACTACAGCAGTTGAGGGACTGCTTAACAGAGTTAAAATCCTGGCTGAGCAAAAACTTCCTCAACCTCAATGAGAGCAAGACCGAGGTAATCTTTTTTGGACCCCAACCTCCAGCCTCTCCGGTTGATATTCTGGGCTCCCTAAGTAAAAACATCCTCCCCTCTGTCTTGAACCTTGGAGTGACCTTTAATAGCACTTTTAAATTCGACAAGCAGGTCAGCACCATAGTAAAATCCTGCTTTTTTTAAATAAGACTATTGGCCAAAACCAAGTGGTATTTATCTTTTAAAGACCTGGAAAGGGTTATTAACGCCTTTGTGACCTCAAGACTGGACTATTGTAATGCTCTGTATGTGGGTATGGACCAGGCATCAATTAAACGCCTGCAGCTAGTCCAAAACGCAGCTGCACGTCTCCTGACTGGCCACAACAAGCGTGACCACATCACCCCAATTCTGGCCTCACTACCACTACCACTGGCTTCCAGTCCGGTTCAGAATTGATTTTAAAATCCTTTTATTTGTATTTAAAGCACTAAATGGGTTGGCTCCGGCCTATATAGCTGAACTCCTCCAGCGCTACACCCCAGCCAGAGCTTTAAGATCTGCTGACCAGCTGCTGCTGGTAGTGCCTAAGACCAGGCTCAAAACCCGAGGGCACCGAGCCTTCGCAGCAGCTGGCCCCAGGCTCTGGAACACTCTTCCCCTCCATGTGAGGTCGGCCCAGACCCTAGGGGCTTTTAAATCCACACTGAAGACACACTACTTCTCTCTGGCCTTCTAGTTAGAGTGGGGTTACGACTCCTGACTGTTCCATGTGTTGTTTTTATCTGTTGTGATTTATTGTGATGTAATGTGTTTTTATGTGTTTAAATTACATGTACAGCACTTTGGCTCGACCAAAATCGTTTTTAAATGTGCTCTACAAATAAAACTTTGATTTGATTTGACTGTAACTCCACAGTTGCCTACACTCTTTTCGGGTTTGCTAACGGTAGCTACTTTAGCTTGATAGCTAGCCATGGCTCGTTCCCCACCCTCGGGTGTTATTTCCTGCTCTAACTGTCTCATGTTTGGTTACTTCCCTACCTCCTTTACTGGTACCGATACATGTGTTAAATGTAGTATAGTTGTTAGGTTGGAGGCGGGAATCATAGCCATAGAAGCCCGGCTCCGCATCTTAGAAAGTAACTCAGCTCCAGTAAAGCCCATGTTAGCCAGTGCGGACCGGCAAAAGGTAGCTCCTCTTATCCGTCCCCCGGCAACTCTCGAGCAGCAGGAAAACTGGGTGACTGTTCAGAAGGGGCATAACGCGAAACCCGCAGGTGCCCACCAACCCGTTCACATATCTAACAGATATTCCCCACTCAGCGAGACACCCGCTGAGAAGCCAACTCTGGTTATTGGTAGCTCTATTATGAGACACGTGAATTTAGAGACCGAAGCCTCCACAGTCACATGCATTCCGGGGGCCAGAGCGGGCGACGTTGAGGCGCATCTTAAACTGCTGGCTAAAAATAAACGTAAATACTGTAGGATTGTTATTCACGTCGGTGGTAATGATGTTCGTTTACACCAATCAGAATGCACCAAACTTAATGTGGAGTCGGTGTGTAGTTATGCTAAAACAATGTCGGACACCGTAATCTTCTCTGGTCCCCTCCCCAATCTGATCAATGATGACATGTATAGCCGCATGTCATCATTTCAGCGCTGGTTGTCTTGGTGGTGACCAGCAAACAATGTGGGCTTCTGGGGAAAACCTGGTCTGATTAAGAGAGACGGCATTCATCCTACTTTGGATGGTGCAGATCTCATTTCGGCAAACATTTCAGGGCTTTGTGGACTTAATCCATGACAAACTGGAGTTGAGACCAGGAGGCGGAGTCGCAGTCTTATACGCTTCTCTGTGCTCTCTCCTAGGCAGTCATCCATAGGAATCCCGAACCCAATAAAATACCTAATATTAACGGTGTGTGTGTCTGCCCAAGGACAATTTAAGGTAAAACCTAATAGAGGTGTCATACATAATAACCTAATAAAAGTAAATGTAACAACTACTACAGTGCAACAAAACAGGAAGATGAAATGTGGTCTCTTAAACATAAGATCTCTAGCATCTAAAGCAATATTGGTAAATGATTTAATATCAGATTATAATATTGATATATGCTGTCTCACTGAAACTTGGTTGAGATATGTCAGCATAAATGAGGCCACTCCACCCAGCCATATCAACACTCATATTGCTCGAGGCACGGGCCGAGGAGGTGGAGTTGCAGCAATCTTTGACTCAAGTTTACTTATCAATACTAAACCAAAATTAAATTATACCTCCTTTGAAAGCCTCGTTTTTAGTCTTACGCATCCGACCTGGAAAACTTTGCAGCCAATCTTATTTGTTACAGTGTATCGTGCACCAGGTCCTTATTCAGAATTATTATCAGAATTCTCTGAGTTTTTTATCAACTTTGGTACTTAAAACAGATAAAGTAATTATCGTAGGTGACTTTAATATTCATGTTGACCATGATAAAAATAGCCTTACTGTTGCATTTAACTCTATATTAGATTCTGTTGGTTTTTGTCAGAGTGTAAATAAACCAACCCACTGCTATAATCACACTCTCGACCTTGTTCTGATTTATGGTATTGAAATTGAGCAACTATTAGTCGAACTGCATAATCCTGCTTTATCTGACCATTTCTTAGTAACTTTTGAAGTACTATTACGAGACTACAAAGCATTAGTCAAAAGCTCTTGCAGCAGAAACCTATCTGTTAGTGCTATAGCCAAATTTAAGGAAGAGATTCCACCAATACTTAACTCGATAGCATGTCTGCATGTACGGGAGGAAACTTATACAAAATGTACACCACCCCAAATTGATCATGTTGTTGATAGTGCTACAGATGCGCTGCGAATAAAATTAGACTCTGTTGCTCCTTTGAAAAAGAAGAAAATAAAACAACATAGATTAGCTCCATGGCATAATGCCGAAACCCGCAAAATAAAGCAAAAGTCGAGACAACTTGAAACGATATGGCGTTCCACTAAACTTGAAGAATCTCGTTTAATTTGGCATATTACTCTCAATGAATATAAGAAAGCACTGCGTAAAGCGAGAGCAGCCTACTACTCTTCATTAATAGATGAGAATAAGAATAATGCAAGATTTCTTTTCAGCACTATAGCCAGGCTGACAGAGAGCCACAGCTCGATTGAGCCTTCTATTCCCATAGCACTCAGTAGTAATGATTTTATGTGCTTTTTTAACGATACAATTGTTACTCTTAGAAACAAAATTAATGACCTCTTGCCTTTGACCAGTATAGTGTTATCAACAGCTCCCGGAAACGTAAGCTCTAATATTACACTAGATAGTAAACTAGAATGCTTTTCAGCCATTAACCTTGAACAATTAAATTAAATGATTCTCTCTTCTAAACCATCAACGTGCATGTTAGACCCAATTCCAACTAAGCTGTTGAAGGAAGTTTTTCCATTAATTAGCACTTCTTTATTAAATATTATGAATATGTCTTTATTATCAGGCTATGTTCCACAATCATTCAAAGTAGCAGTGATAAAACCGCTTCTTAAAAAGCACAACCTCGATCCAGAGGTTTTATCCAACTATAGACCTATTTCTAATCTTCCGTTCCTCTCAAAAATTCTTGAGAAAGCGGTCACAAAACAGCTGTGTGATTACTTAAAAAACAATGATTTATTTGAAGATTTTCAGTCTGGCTTTAGAACACATCATAGCACAGAGACAGCTCTGGTTAAAGTCACAAATGACATTCTAATAGCCTCAGACAAGGGACTTGTCTCTATTCTTGTTTTGCTCGATCTCAGTGCTGCATTTGATACTATCGACCATGATATCCTATTGCAAAGACTAGAGCACTTAGCTGGCATAAAGGGAACTGCTTTAGGCTGGTTTAGGTCCTATCTATCTGAACGCTCTCAGTTTGTACGTGTTAACGATGAATCTTCCACGCAAACCAAAGTTAGCCATGGAGTGCCACAGGGTTCAGTGCTCGGACCTATTTTGTTCACATTATATATGCTTCCGTTAGGCAATATTATAAGGAATAATTCTGTAAACTTTCATTGTTATGCGGATGATACTCAACAATATTTATCAATCAAGCCTGATGAAATTAATCATCTAAATAAAATTCAAGACTGCCTCAAGGACTTGACGTGGATGACCTTAAACTTTTTGATGTTAAACACGACCAAAACTGAAGTTATTGTACTTGGCCCGAAGAATCTACGA